CCCGGGATGCCCCGTGCGGGGACCCAGCGCGGTCCCCGACTCCAGGGGCTGAAGGGCACCCGGTGTTCCCACCGCGCCACCCGGGCCGGGGCAGCGGCGCTTTGGGTCAGGGTCAGTCGGGGCCGACGGCTCCGCTCTGCCTCCTCGCGGTGCCGGAGCTGCGGCTCCGGGAAGTCTGGTGCGGCACAGGGATGTGCTGAGCTGTGATGCCGCCCCACTGCAGGGCTGCGGGCACAGCCAGGTGAGTACGGGCCGGGGGCTCCGGTCCCATCCCCGGCTTCTCCGCGAGCTTCACCTCTCATAACATCTCATCTTCTCTCTCTCCCCTTCCCTCTACTGCTCACCTTCCGCTCTCCATCCCCCCCCACACCTTCCCCGCCCCACTCACCCCGAAAGCTGGAAGGAGGAGGACGCGCAGCCCCACAAGTGCTTGAGCCTCAGGTAACGTCCGCCCCAAAACATGGCCGTGGTTCTGGCCGCCCGCCCCGCTCTGTGCCATCCTCCCATGGGGACCCCAGCACCGTTCCCCGTGCCGCTGCTGTGCACCCACACAGAGCTCTGCCACCGGGACGACAGCCGTCAGCGTTTATGCAGGACCCACACAAACGTGCTCACGCTTCTCACCTCCGCAGCAGCGGGGAGGAGGCGCCTGGGGGCTCTGTGCCCTCATACGGGGGTCACACGTGGGGCCGGGGCGCAGCGGCTCGGCTCAGCTCACTGATGCTCTCTTTCTCTGTGTCCCTGCCCTGCCCCCCAGCCAGGCGGGTGGTGGGAAGCGGAGGCTCTTGAGAACGTGGGCCACGTGGAGACGGAGGTACCGCGGCCCAGGAGCTGCCGGGTGCATGGGGAGCTGCCGGGTGCTGGGCAGGGGATGGGGCAGAGGGGCAGGGGGGGGAACTGTGATGCAGCACTGGGGGCCGTGCATGGCTTGGGCTGGGAGCCGGCTTGGGCACGTTGGGCTGTGCCTCAGTTTCTCCCCATGCAGCGTGGGTGAGCCTGGTTGTGCCGTGTCTGACAGCAGCAAACTGAGGGTAACCCCGCGGCGGTGTGCCCGACAGCCTGCCCTCCCCCCTCCTCCCCCCCTTGGGGAAGGAATTTCCCCATCCTGTGCGTGTGCTGCCAGCCCAGACCCAGCTCCTGGCCGGGGAAATCAGCAGAGCTCTCCCTCTGACTGCAGTTTTGTGGCCCCGCACAGCAGCAGGTGTCTCCCTGCACTGCGCTGTGTGCTGTGTCCTGCGCAGCTCTGACTCCCTCTGTTCTTGGGTCCCATTCTGCTTGGCCTCCTCTCATGTCCCCAACGTGAGCCTGCAGTCTCCCATCACCCCAGAGGCAGCACCAGGTGGTGTTTTTGTGTCGGTCCTACATAAATGATGTCTTCTGCTCCCCCCCCCAACCTCCCCCCAGCCAGCAGAGGGGTTGGTTTCGGGAGTAGAGTTTGCAGCGGGGCTGCAGGAGCAGAGCAGAATGGTGGTGCAGCCTGCAGGAGGAGAAGGAGGAGGATGGCAGGGCCCGGCCGGCCCCACGTGTCAGCAGGAACGGGGCTGCTCCATGCACTGCTCTGCTGCGTGTCCCCACCTGTCTGTCCCTCCACCGTCCGTCTGTCTCCTCTCTCTGCTCTCAGAAAGAGCTGCATAGAGGCTGCTCTGCACGGGCATGCAGTGACGCCTGCTGCCAGCCTGAGCTCGTGCCCAGTTCGCGTGCTGGGCTCTGCCCATCCCTTCCACCCCCCGTCCCCATCCCTGCTCCCCGGGCAGCCGCCAGGCACTCATTCTGCCCCTCACCCCCCCTCGCAGCACCAAGATGGGCATCAAGGAGCGCATCCGCCTGGGCTCCCCGCAGCGCCTGGGCAGCCGCGGCCGCCTGCACCTGGCCCCCCCCCTGCACCGCTCCCCCAGCACCGAGGCCGTCCCCGAAGCCCCCAGCCCCAGCAAGGTGCACAAGAGCTGGAGCTTCAACGACCGCACGCGCTTCCGTGCATCGCTGCGGCTCAAACCGCGGCTGCAACCTGAGGGTGAGCACTGGGGGGGGGGGGGGGATGGACACGAGGGGCCGTGGGGGGGCTCAGTGTGGGGGCTGAGACCTCTGCTACTCCCCCTTGCAGCAGAGTGCCCACCAGAGGACAGCGGCGAGGAGAAGGGCTCCCACTGCGACCTGACCTTCGAGGACATCATGCCAGCAGTGAAGACCCTGATCCGTGCTGTGCGGTGAGCGCATCCAGCCCCGGGCACCAGGACACCAGAGCCACGTGGGCTGGGTCCCCACCACGACCCCCATAGCAACAAACAGAGCCCCGGGTGCTGGCCGTTCTGCATCCAACCCCCCTCCCCCCACCCGCAGGATCCTCAAGTTTCTGGTGGCCAAGAGGAAGTTCAAGGAGACCCTGCGGCCCTACGACGTGAAGGACGTCATTGAGCAGTACTCAGCTGGGCACCTGGACATGCTGGGCAGGATCAAGAGCCTGCAGACACGGTGAGATGGCCCCGGGGAGGGAGGGGAGACCCTGGGGTCCTGCACATCCCCAGTTACGTGGGGCACATCCTGCCAGCCCCACGGCCATCAATGGGGCCCCATCCCCGTGACCCCAGTCCATTGGGAATGATGCGCCGTGTCTCCTTCCCTGCAGCGTGGACCAGATTGTGGGCAGGGGAGGCCCCGCTGCTGACAAGAAGATCCGGGAGAAGGGGGAGAAGGCAGTGCTGGATGCAGAGCTGGTGGATGAGCTGAGCATGATGGGCCGCGTGGTCAAGGTGGAGCGGCAGGTATGGAGGGGACGTCCGTGTGTGTCACCATGTCACCGTGTCACCACGTCACCACGTCACCACCCCATGGCTCATCCCGTGCCCACAGGTGCAGTCCATCGAGCACAAGCTGGACCTGCTGCTCGGCCTCTACTCGCAGTGCCTGCGCAAAGGCTCGGCCAACTCCTTCAGCCTGGCCGCCGTGCCGCTGCCCCGCGAGCCCGACATCACGTCAGATTACCACAGCCCTGTGGAGCACGAGGATGTGTCGGCGTCAGCCCAGACGCTGAGCATCTCCAGGTCGGGCAGCGCCAACATGGACTGAGCAGGGGGATGGGGCCGCAGGGATGGGCTCCGGCCGTGGGGGGACGTGGGGACGTGGGGAGCCCTGGCCCCACTGAGCTGCGTCCCTCTCTGCGTTACTTGAACTCAGCGTCCTCACAGCTGGGCAGCAGAGGTGCTCTGTGCTGAGCGCTGTGGTGGGGATGGGGGGCAGCAGCAGTGCTGCGGTGGCTGCTCTCTCCAGGGGGGGGTGGGAGCCCCCAGCCCAGGGTGGGTGTCCGCCTCCCCATGGGGGTCCTGCACGTCCCAGAGCCGCGCTGGGACCGGCACAGCTATGCAAGGCTCCAGCTCCGGAGCTGAGCCCTTGGGCACAACCCCATGGGGTCTCATCGGGGTGGGGGGGGGGGTTACCCCCCTTGCCCTCCTCTGCCAGGGTTCCCCCCGCTCACGGGGCTGCGGCTGCACCTCCACAAGTGCAGCAGAACCTTCTGCCCCTGCATGCTCCCAGGGCAGCATCTATCCGTATATGTAAGAGACAGATATGCAATAATGTCTTAATTATGCAACACCCCCGGGAGCAGCCGCCCGGGGGACCAACGTAGGCAATAAGAACCTCCTGCCAGCACGCGGGGCGGCGTCCTGCTCTGCAGGGGGCTCAGACCCCCCTGGAGGGCGGCCCCGAGGCTGTGGGGCCGGGCAGGAGGAACCAGGATCATCCCTCCCTGCCCCCGCTGGAGGACTGACTCCTTCCCTGCTTGTCCCTGGCCCCTGGGGGTGACTGCGGGTGGGGACAGCGCAGCGGCGGCGGCGCCCTTTGCACGCTGCTTGCACCAGGGCTGCTTTCCAGTCCCCCACCGCAGTAGTGCCAAAATTTGTTGGTACCCCTCGGGGGGGGGCTCGTGGGACCCCCTTTTGCCTTGGAATCGTGGGGGATCCCAACCCCACTCTGCTGCTGCTCCCAGCAGGGCTGTGCCCTGGGATGCCCACCACCCCTCCTTTCCCTCCGTAGTGCATGCGAACAGCATGGGCTGTGCTCGCAGCCCCCCGGGCTGTGCCGTGGGGCCGGGGGTGCCCAGGGGGTGATGCACAGCCGTGGGTACCCGGCCCTGGAATGAGGGTGCATGTGACAGCTTCACCCCCAGCCCCGCTCAGTCCTTAACCCGTAGGGCTCCTCCCCGGGGCTGGCTGGGCCCCTCAGTCCCTCTTTTTCCCCCCCAGCCGCCCGTAGTTACCTCACTTTATTAACTTATTAACTTATTTCTTTCATTAAACTTTGAAGTAGACGCCGCCTGCCCGCCTGGTTTCTGCCCCCGCTCTCCCGAGAGGTGGCACTCCAGCCCCACCGCAGCACCCAGCGCCCATCCCCCGCCCCCCCCCCCAACCACTGCCCCACCTCGGCCGGCAGAGGGGCTGTGCTTTCCGGGGCGGTGTGGTGTCCCCAGACGGTGCGTCCCCACACGGGCATGGCGTTGCGATAGCCTCAGGAGCGTTCCAGACGAGATGAGAGTGCGAGACCCGTCCTCACAGTGCTGCAGCCCCCCCGGGGGGGGGTGTCAGGCCCCCTTGGGAGCGCGTCCCCCCGCCCGCAGTGTCCCAGCACCGCCCCCATTGCCTGGAGGAAGCCGGACTCTCGGCCGCTCCTTCGCCGCATTTCCTGGCTGAGCCTTCGCCAACAGCCGGCCCCGCAACCGCCACGCAGCGATGGAGCGACCCCTGCAGCCCCTCTGCCGCTCCCCCCGCCCCCCAGAGCAGCCGGGCCGCGTCGGGACGGAGCCTTTGGGTGGCCCCGCTGAGCGCTCGGGGTGCAACCCGGGGAACCCCCACCTGCTGGCGGTGCAGCTCTGGCTGCGGTACCTCCGGGGCTGCTTTGAAGGGAGAGCCAGGTCGGGGCGAGCAGGAAAACCCCGTTCTGCTCTGCTTTGCTCCCGGCTGGCAGCAAAGCTTCTCGGAAGGGGGGGGGGGGAGGGAGGTGGTCCGCAGTCACTCCTTGTGCCCGCAGTGGGGTCCGTGCATCACTGCGGGGGGCTCCGGCCATGCAAAAGGCTGAGCCCCCGCGTGCCCCCATTGCTCCGGGTCTGAGCTCTGCGCAGCGCTCCGGGTCGTTGCTGCAGCCTCACCCACGCGGGGCAAAGAGCACAAGTGTGCGATGCCCCCTGCAGCCGCGTGTGGCACAGACGGGGACGAGGCTGTGGCCCAGCGAATGTGTCCGTGCGTCCTGCCGGCCGCCAAGGGCACCTGCGGGAGGAGCGTGGGGCTGCGGGTGCTGCTGCCCCTATGGCGGGGGGGGGAAGGGGGGAGGAAAGGCAGGAGGATACAGAGCAGAAGAGGCGATGTCCCGCGTCCCTCTCGCGGTGGCTTTGCTCTGTCCCCGGAGGGTCTCGGAGAATTCGTGACTCACTCCGAATTCCTGTCCGTGTGCCTGCAGACAGCCGGGCTCCGGCCCAGTTCCTTCCTGAAGCTCTCGGCGGTCCAAGGCCGCGTGCTCAGGAAAAAGCTCTTGGAGGAGCACCGGGCTGCGCTGCCTGCAGAGGTGGGGGGGGCCGGGGAGAGGGGTGCTCTTGTAGGACCCCCGGGGGTCGCGCTGTCTCCGTCGGACACCGGGAGCTCCTTCGGGGACCCTCGGCAGCGCCGGTGCCGCTCCTCGGGGCCAAACCTCCCCGGGAGGAACAGGAGTGCAGCAGGTGGGGGGGCCAGGGGCTGCCTGTATTCACCCCCAGCGTGCGCCCCAGCAGCGGGACAGCCGCGTTCCGCCCCGGCAGACGCAGTGCTGGGCACACGGACACACACACGGCCCCCTCCACGTGCTGGCGGCTCGGGGGACCCCCACCCTGCGACAGACGGGTCGGGGTGCGCAGAGCTTTTATAGCGCGCTCTCTTTGGCCCCAGCATTCCGAGGGTCTCCCCCTCCCCACCCCGGCAGAACTCGGGACCCAACAGGAGAAGGGGCTCTGCGGGCGGCGGCATCGAACTCATTCGGCGCGGGGTGGGGCAGCGCGGTCCGTCCCCTGCCCGGGATACCCCCGGCACCTCCCCGTGCCCCCTCCCCCCCCCGGGGCGCGGCTATAAGGGAGCGGCGGGGCCGGAGGAGGCGCTCGGAAGCGGCTGCGGCGGGGAGCGGTGCACGGCGGGGCGGCAGGTATGGGGCGGGCGCGGGTGTGCCGCTTCGGTGCCATTCGGGGTCACCTTGAGCCCCTCAGGCGTTCTCCTAGGGCCCCCCAGGGGTTTTTCTCGGGTTCCCGGGGCCGCGTTCCTCTTCTTTTCTCTGACAGCCGTGGGCTGAGGTTGGGGAACTCATCGCAGCGATGGTACCGCCGAGCTCCCCCCAGGCAGCCTTTACGGTCCGGTTCCCCCATGGGGCGCAGCCCGTGCTCGGCCTGGGCGTCCCACGCAGCCCCACCGCCGTGGGCTCCGCCTGGAGGCTTTGCTTCGGGAAGGGGGGCTGAGCTGAGCGTCGACACGGGGCTGTGAGGCCGTATGGGGGGAGGAGTGAGGAGAGCCGGGCAGGGAGGGGGGGGTCACAGAGCGGCTGAGGATCTCCGCTCCGGAGCTGCGTGGGCGCTCCGTTAAGGAGTTGGGCGGGAGATGAGGAATGCGAAGGATTTGCGCGTCACCTGGCTCCGAGGTCCCAGTCCCTCCGGCGGCTCAGAGCCCGGCACGAGGCGACGCCGGGGGCTCGGGGTCCCCACGCACACCGCCCCATCCCATACAGCGGCTCCGGGGACATGGCCAGCACCGCGCTCGTGCCCTGGGCGCTGCTCTGGCTGCTGGCGGCGCTGGGTTCGGCAGCCCGGACGCGGACGCGCCGGGAGTTGTCGCCGGGTTTGTACGAGCACGGGGTGTTCGATGCCGGCGGCTCCTACTGCCAACGCGGGGATGTCTGCTGCCGCGGGCGCGACGACGGCTGCACCGTGCCCTACCTCGACACCATCTGCTACTGCGACCTCTTCTGCAACCGCACCGTCTCCGACTGCTGCCCCGACTTCTGGGAGTACTGCCTGGGCATCCCGGCCCCGTTCCCTAAAGCTGCAGGTGAGGCGGAACCCCCCGGAGCGGTGCGCGGCTGCGGGATGCGATGCGCGCGTCCGGACGGCGGCAGAACGGGGCCGGGTGCCGCCCCGGTCGTGTCTGGGGCACGCCGTCCCCGACTTCACCCCGTGGGCAGCGGGGGAGGGATGGGAGAGAGGGGGGGGAACCGGGGAGGCCCCCTCGTGCAGCACAAGGCTCTCTCAGAATCCCCGCAGAGCAGAGCCAGCTCCGGCCATCAGTGGCCCCTTTATCCCGTCCCAGCCTGCAGTTAACCCTCCTCGTGCCCACCTCTCTCCCTCCCAGGCTGCGTTCGCTCCGGTCGCGCTTATCCCAGCGGGGCCACGTACCGGGACAACTGCAACCTGTGGTGAGTGCCCCCGTGCTGCGCCGGCCCCGCAGCGTGGCACCCTGACCCCGAACCCAGCCGTGATGGGAGCGGGGCCGCGCCGGATGGTGGGGGCTGATGCAAGTTCCTTTGCTGTGGCATATTTGGGGTTTCTGTGCCCGCACCCAGCTTGCCCCGGCTTGATGGGCTGAGCGTGCCCCGTCCTGCTCCAGGTGGGGATCCGGCCCCACGCAGCTCAGCGCTGCACCGGGGTTGGCTCCGACACGGCACTGCGGGCATGCTGGGATGGGGAGCACGGAACCTGCAACTGAGGAGCACTGAGCTGCACTGAGATGAGGGCAAATCCAATGCTCCATGTGGAGCTGTGCATCAGCGTGCGTGGATGCAACCAGTGTGTGTGCCTGCAAGCCCAAGCAGCCTCGTGCAGCCTTGCAGGATGAGCACAGCCCTCCCCGAGCCACCGCTGCCCCTCTGGGCACGAGGGAGTCGGGGGAACTGAGGCCCCTCCGTGCTCAAAGGAGCTTTCTCTGTGCTGGGAAAGCATCCCTGCTGCGCCCCAGATCTTCTTCCCCTGCACTTGGAATGCGGAGAGCAATTCCTGCTGTGCTTCACCCCGACTTGGGGCGGTTGTATGGGAGGGAAATGTAAAGCATGGGAGATGCAGGAGAGTTGTGGGGAGATGCTGTGGGTGCGCAGCTTGGCTTCACCCCGGATACGCCCCCAACAGCTGGGCTGCTCAGTGCCTGTGCCCAAGGAGTTAACAGCAAGCAGCTGGGTCACCAGAGCTGCGGCCAAGGAGGGCAGCGAGGGGTGAAGGGCTCGGGAAGCGTCTTACAGGGTTTTTCCATTGCCTCACAGTGCCTGGGGAGAGCAGATATCGGGGGATTCACACTGCCTGCTCCAAACGGGGCCTTGGGATTTGTCCCCTGTGTGGGGACGTGGGGCTGAAGGCAACGGCTGGGATGTGGGATGGCTCCTGGGAGGGGCTGATGGTGGGAATTGGGGTCTGGGCGGTGCTGTGACCCCAATGGGGTGGTGGGGATGGGGATGGGGAGCGGTGAGCGGGGCTGCTCTGCCCACAGATCGGCTCCATAAAAGGGAACGGCGTGCCGGGAGCTCGCACTGCGGGCAGCGGGGCTGGATGCCGAGCATTGCTGGGAATGTGGGGGGAGCACGGCTGGAGGCTCCCCATGGGGACACCCCTCCCCCCCCTGCCCGGGTCCCCCATGGGTCGTGCAGTGCTCCCTGCTCAGGGCAGCGCAGATCCTCCCTGGGCTCATTTCCAAACCCTGCTGGTTGCTGCAGCCCTGGTTGGTTTTCGGCTCGTTTCTGTCCTTGGGGCTGCTGCAGGGACCAGGCTGGTGTTGGGGGTCCCAAATCCTGGGGTTGCTGCTCCCCACCTGCTGACCATCTCCTCCCCACAGCACCTGCGGCCCTGCAGGGCAGTGGCAGTGTGAGGAGCACGCCTGCCTCGTGGATGGGGACCTCATCGACGCCGTCAATAGGGGAAATTACGGGTAAGGGCTGTAAGTGACTGAAGGGATGCAGGGGTGCTTCACCCCTCTGTGCTCTGTGGATGTGCCAACCCCATTCTGTGCTCTGTGCAGGTGGAGAGCAGCCAACTACAGCCAGTTTTGGGGCATGACGCTGGAGGACGGGATGCGCTACCGCCTGGGCACCTTCCGGCCACCCCCCACCGTCATGAACATGAATGAGATGCACGTGAGTGGGACCCCACAGATCTTATCTTGTAACCCCCGGCCCCAAAGCTGCGAGCTGCCCCGCTTTTTGGAGACAGCAGCTCAGCACATTCCCCCTCGCAATCCCTGCGTTGCCAGTGTTGTTTTTGCCCCTTCCCTCCTTGCTGGGTTCCCATCGGAAAGCCTGCCCCATAGCTGCTGAGTCGGCACAGCCGTGTGAGCGGGATGCCCTCAGGCTGCAGCCAGAGCCGGCCCCATGGGGCACCTTCTGCTGACCCCATAGCGGGCTCCATGGGGCATCCATGGCAACATCTCAGTGGGACCCTGTTGCTCTGTCCCACGTCATGCCTGGAATTTGAAGTCCTCCTGGCCCCAAAGGATGCTCCGTGGGGACAGGATGAGCCCAGCGCACGGCTCACACCCATTGCAGGGCCTTGACTTGCGAGGTTTAATTTTAGCAGCATTTCCTGCACTGGGTGCTGTGACCTCCCCAGAAGGGCCGCTCAGCGCGTGGCCTCCAGGCGGAAATGCCGGGCGTCACTCGGAGCCGGGAGCAGGGACACAATGAGGGCCCCCTGTTGGCACCCGTGGCCGGATGCTGAGCACTGGAGGTGCTGTTGCTGAGCCTGAATTTGGCAGAGGTTGAGAGAGATGGCTCCTCAGGGCGGCACCCACATCCTGGCTGTGGTGTCTGTGGTGGGGTTGGGGTGGCGCTAGGGACCGCAGCTCTGGGGGTGCCTTGGAGCGGGGGGTCCCCACACCGTGAGGCTGTGCCCCCACAGATGGCCATGGACTCCAACGAGGTGCTGCCCCGCCACTTTGATGCGGCCACCAAATGGCCCGGGATGATCCACGAGCCCCTGGATCAGGGCAACTGCGCCGGCTCCTGGGCCTTCTCCACGGCAGGTGAGATGCAATGGGTTTGGGGATGGGGGCTCGTGGGGCAGTGGGATGGGACCCCCGGGGCCGTCACCATCCCTGACCGCCGTGCTCGTCCCCAGCCGTCGCCTCCGACCGCATCTCCATCCATTCCATGGGCCACATGACGCCCTCCCTGTCGCCCCAAAACCTCCTGTCCTGTGACACACGCAACCAGCGGGGCTGCAGCGGGGGGCGGCTGGATGGAGCCTGGTGGTACCTGCGCAGGAGGGGGTGAGCAAGGATGAGGGGATGGCGATGGTGGCAGGATGGCAGCGGCAGTTGGTCTGGGGGTGGGTTGGGATGGTGGTGGTGATGATGGTGAAGGCGGCGGCGGTGGGGAGGCAAAGGGCTGGGAGTGGTGATGGGGATAGCAACAGGGATGGGAATGGGGTGGCAGTGGTTGTGGGACGGGGATGGGAAGGTGAAGGAATGGGTATGGTGATGGCAGTTGGGTGTAACCGGGGGATAGCGATGGCTATGGGGTGGCAGGGGGATGCTGATGGAGTTGGGCACGGGGACAGGAATGAGGACAGCAACGAGGACAGGGACGTGTCCAGGTTTTCCATCTCCTCCTCTCATCCCCATCCCTTGCACAGGGTGGTGACAGACGAGTGCTACCCCTTCACCAGTCAGGAGAGCCAGCCTGCTGCACAGCCCTGCATGATGCACAGCCGCTCTACAGGCCGGGGCAAGAGGCAGGCCACAGCACGCTGCCCCAACCCCCAGAGCCACGGCAATGAGATCTACCAGTCCACCCCTGCCTACCGCCTGGCCCCCAGTGTGAGCAGCCGTGGGGCTGGGGGCGGTTCTGCCTGCAAAAGCCAAGCTGGGGATCAAAGCGGGGCAGAGAGGGAGGGGAGGGATGCGATGCCAGGGTTGGATGTGGAGCTGCCTCTGCAGGCGGCAGAAGAGGGGTGGTGTCACCCTGCTGGGTGTCCATGGGGTGCTGTGGATCAGAAGGTGGGGACCCC